TCAGAATTACAAAGCCTGCAGCCCTCCTTAACAGCAGCCCCCCGCCTCTCCTCCTCCTCCGTCATGTCTCTATCTGTAGTCTTTTTTTTCTCCCTCTATCTCATTCTCCTCATCTCTGTCCACAATGTCTGCTCCCTCTCCCCATGCTGCTTCTTTTTGTGTCATTTCTCCTTCTGTCTTGCTCCTTTATTTTTCATGTTATTTTGAGAATGGAGGCACCAAGTATAATTCTCAGCTTTTGTTAAATGCTGCAAAAAATCTTGCACTTTTCTCACTGTGTCCATCTGTTAACAAATGTAAAAAAAAATCTGCAATCACAGTAAGAATACTTCAATCTGTTTCTAAAAGATAGCTACTTGTTTCTAAAAGTTTCTACCTGCTGTGTTCAGTACGTTGTAAGTTCTGCATGTTATTCTACTGGTCTGCCACTAGGAACACAGTCGCTGCTAATGAACATCCTGTCTGGGTTTGTGGGTATTGTTCTGCTTTCCATAACACTGTGCTGCCTGCTACTACAAATTAACCAGTAAATAGTTATTGTTAAATCCAGGCCATCCACCACAACACTAATTAAGGCTCTACTTATGCATAATGATGCCTTGAGCTAAAAGCTAACATCAGCATGCCAACAAGCTCATATTTACGTCGTTCACCATAAACACTATAGATGGAGATAAAGAGAATCTCATTATTTTGCAGGTATGTGGTCATAAATCATTGTTTGGACAACTGAAGATTTGACCTCATGGTGTTCCTTGATGAAAGGTTAAGAGATCACCAAAGTCATTAGTTTCATATGTGAATTGTGAATATCTGCACTAAGTTTTGCAGCAATCCATCAAGAGATACAACATTTACCAGGTGGGTGAAAACAAGTGCAGGGTTTCACCAGTCAGTACGGATCACCCTCTGAGGATCCCGAATGACTGCACATTCATATGTTATTTGTACCTCATCACCAACGCCCTGGTGATGCTGAACCATTTGACAATCTCCTATTATTGTTTGCACTACTGTCATGGACTGTACTCGGTTTTGAGTCACAGCTTATTGGCCGCATTGTTTAGATTTATCCTAATTACATCAATCCAGGTCTTATTCTATTCTATTTTTATTCTATTTTAGTTCCTAAATGTTATGGCACCCAGTACTAGGTGAGAGAGAGAAACGGCATTTCAATTTTCTGTATGCCCTGCACATGTGGTGAATTGACAAAATCCTTGAAGCTTGAACATACGTTTGCAGCAATCTGTTCAATAGTTATTGGGATATTTTATTCTGGACAAAATTGGTGGACTGACCAAATGTAATTTTAGTTGAAAAAGTTAAAAGAATTAATAAAGTGCCATATTTTTGTCAAAGTTTGGCTGGTGGATAATGATGTTTTCTTCTGGGTGGGGTTATGCTGGGTTCTAAAATCCCAGCTCTGGCATCTGTATCTCCAAGCAATAAATTATAAGGCAGGTCACTTCACTGCAATGAAAGAGGGGAAAAATAATTGAATATTTAAAATTCTTCAAACAAGCTGATTTGCAGTTAGAATGATTTTAAATGATGTGGCCCTTGCAGATTTTCCTCACCTGCTTATGAAAATGAGCCTTAAAGACAAAAATGACTTGATGAAGTGGATATGATTGTTTCAGTGTAGATGCTGAATATAAATATAAAACTGGATGAATAAATAAAGCTTCTCTCCACATTCATGAACAGTGCATTCAATGACAAAAGAAGAAGAAAAAAGCGAAAGCCTGTGCCTCAGGGAACTCTATAGCTGAACATGAATCTTACAGACTCAGATAAAGAGGAACGGCTGCAGACTGTCGTTTCTCCCCTTGATCATTCTCAATAGTCATTCTATGTTATTGAGGATATGTAAGAAACAATGTAAGAAACAATATTACTCTAAAGTATTAGAGGATAATAAAAATAATATGAAAGGTACTTGGAATATATTAAATAAATTGATTAGAAACAGTACCAGCAGGAGTAATTACCCCCCATATTTTATGGACAATGATACATCGGTCAAGAGATTGGAGGATGTAGTTGAGAAGTTTAATAGGTTTTTTGTGAATGTGGGTCCTGGTTTAGCAAGTAGCATTTGTACAGACGTTAATATAAATAACAATACAATTGAAAGAAATATGTGTTCTATGTTTCTTAAGCCAATTGTTGAAAAAGAAATTATAGATATAGTGAACAAATGTGGTAATAAATCATCCAGTGATAGTGATGGTATCACTATGACAATGGTTAAATGGGCAATCGAGGGGATATGCAAACCATTAACCCATGTTTTTAACATGTCGTTTCGACTTGGTCAGTTCCCCAATAATATGAAAATAGCAAAGGTTATTCCATTGTATAAATCTGGGGATAAGCACAACTTCACAAATTATAGACCGGTTTCTCTGTTGTCACAGTTTTCAAAAATCTTGGAAAAACTCTTTAATAACAGATTAGACACATTTATTGATAAACATAAAATCCTCTCTGATTGCCAATATGGTTTTAGGTTGAACCGATCGACATCTTTGGCCATTACCGACCTGATGGAGGACAT